TTGACTTTTCATTTCACAGTTGAATTCDTAGAAACAAAAGTTCTTTTTCCCACAGGATTTTAATTGGGTGGCAACGTACATAGCAATGCCGTTAGCCGATTAGGTCTATTTACCTATAGTGAACCAATTTTTTGGATTTTTATAGTCAAATGACTATAATGACATGCTACGACTATACTATAGCTCCTACTCAAACAGGGAGCTAAACAAAATCACAAAACTGCCTGTATGTAGACTTATTTCCTGATCATAGATACCAAGAGGCAATGATCTTTCAATCAATTTTAATTATATTTGGTGTTATCACACCATTGTTTAGCCTTCTACTTAATAAATTGTATGTTTGCTTATAATCATTTCACACAAAAAAAACTGCACCACAGACATTGTATTAACAAGAGAAGATTTTGCACCAAAAATTATAAGTCTTAAGTGGTATCGAATAGGTAATAGGTAATGTGCAAAATTACCAGTTTGTAGCAAAAAAATCAAATAATCTCTCTAATATCCCTGCATTAACCTATTAATTCATCTAATGGAGCATATACTGTCTGCCATGAGCTTCTTGACATTTAGTAGAAAGATGGGATAATATCAATTTGTCTTTTCAACCACCAACCCCAACCCATCCTAAACAACTTTTCAATTATTCTAGGGCACCTGATGCAATTAATGTTTGTAGTTGTAGTTTTAATGAGTGATCCATTTAAATTTTGAGGGGCAAATACAAAAAAAAAAAACAATTTGCAAGACTCGCTTAATGTATTTGACCCCTCTGAGCAGAAAAAGCTAGTGCAGGATTTTATTCTGGAACACGGTATGGTTTTTTACTCTGGAACAGGGTATAGTTTTCAGCGATTTCACTCTGGAACAGGGTCAGGGTTTTGAGGTCCCAGCGGCACACCCCCACCCAAGTTTCTACTCTAGATAGAATAGAGGTCACTGTTCTTTTTTTTATGGTAGTTCAAATTATTAAGCTAACTATAAGCTTAATAAGTAGCTTCATCTGGAAGTTTTTGACGGACATTCATGTTAGCATTTAGAATTATATATCGCTCAGTGTGTATAAGCTTATTATGACTGTAATGTGTGAATGTGTGACAACGTTTTAGAAAGACGATTTGCCTGTTGCTGTTTTTTATGTATTTTTTGTCTCACCTCTATATAATCATCATTCTTCATTTCTTGTACTCTTTCCGCCATTTTTAATTCACTTTTGAAAAGTTTTTCAGTTGAAAATACGGAAAAAGTTGATCCTCGGAGCTCTTGCAAAGARTGTTSGATCGAACACTTTACGAAAGCCGCCCGAGTCCATTCGGTAACCTTTCGGTGAAATGCTGACGCGTGCAAATGACGTGTGTTTTTTTTGCACACGAGCGGTGAACTTACTTGGACGCTTGACTTCTTCAAAGGTATGTCGCTTTTCTTTCTGCTTTTTTTTCGTTTTTTACTTCATATATTTTTTAAGTGTTTGATAAGTATCCTTGTTCTGACTCTTGTTTTCACTTTTCAGAAACAGCGCGCTACGAAATCATTGCAATTTCCAACAACGCCTACTTCAAAACTGCATGACATCACTTTGCGGGTAGTCAAAGAGAGGTATGGATTTTGTTTTAATACTCAGTTGTTTGTCTGTTTTTATTGTAAAATGGCTGAATTGAAAAGAAACCTATATCTGTTTACAGTAAGTTAAAGGTTTTTAGTCTTAATTTTCTTTCCCGGTCGCATCGTCTTCACGCGGCTAAACTTATCTCATTTACTTATATGACTTCTTTTGAATCGTTCATATTCTTTTTAKCCATTTCTTGCTTGCTTATTTGTTGTTGTTTATTGTTTTTTTTAACCATAGTATTTCTGACAGGTTGGGGGTGACGTAA